TGAGCGAGCTTCCCCAACAACTTGTGCACCGCCACATTAAAGATCAATGGCGAGAGCACTGACCCTTGTGGGGTGCCGATATTTCCGAGTCGTTCGGGTTCACCGCATTGCTCTCCTATGCGTATGGTGGCGGTTCGGTTCGCCAGAAAGCCTTTAATGTAGTTGTAGAATTTCTCGCCTAGGTTCATGTGTGATATTTCACCCAGTATGTGTTCATGTTTTACGGTGTCAAAGGCCTTGGCGAGGTCGAGGGCTAATATGGCTTTGGGCGTGTGGAGGAGGCCGTAACATATGTGTTCTCTTAACATCGACATGTCGTCCTGTGTGGACAGTGCCCTGCGGAAGCCTATAATGTTGTGTCGAAAGAGCCCATTGCTCTCAATGTGGTCCGTGATACGGTTGAGTATTGCATGCTCAGCTACTTTTCCAACGCAAGATGTGAGTGATATGGGCCTTAAGTTATCGATGCTCAGTGGTTTTCCAGGTTTCGGGATGAGCGAAACCTTGACACTACACCATTCTTTAGGCACGGTACCCGTTTCCCATGTCTCATTTATCTTCTTAGTAATGATTACGATTGCTTTATCGTCTAGATTCCGTAGCAATTTATTGTCGATTCCATCTGGCCCTGGCGCCGATCTGCCATTGAGTTGTTGTAGAGCGTACCGTATTTCAGCTTCGCTGAATGGTTCGTCTAGCTTTTCTTGCGGTCGACCTCCATATGAGGGATTTTTGTTTTCCCAGGCTACTGATTTGCCTAGCGTTTTGAGGAGAGCTTGGGATCCACCACTATTCTGGGCGTGCTTGTGCACCAATCGTTCAATTTGCAGCTGGGTGCCGCCTCTGGTGGGTTTGTCGCTGTCCGCCATAAGGTGTTTGAGCAGCCCCCATTTGCTTCCCTTCCTCATTTTGCCATCTGCTTCGTCACATGTGTTGTTTCACTCCTAGGCGCAGATTGTTTTGGCGTGAGATTCGATTTCGTTGCCAAGGTCCGCAATTTTTGGGCGTAAGTGTCGGTTGAGCTTGTTTTTACGCCATGCTTCTTTCAGGTCATGCCTTTTCTGCACCAAACTGGCCAAGTGAGAGTCCATTGCCTGGATGGATTCATCAGTCTCGACTTCTTTGGTGGCCTCATTCACTGCATTTTTTAATTTATTTAAGAGAACTTCATATGATAGTTCTGTATTGCCCTTCTGCTCCCGTATTTTACGGAACTGGTCCCAGTCTGAAGAGGCACAAACAAGTAACTCTAAGAAATGTAGCGTTTATTGCGCTGCGCTGACAGTGCAACGCGATGCTCAAAAAGAAGTTTCAAACGCTTTGCTACGACGTCACGGTGGTGGCACCTGCCCGACGCTTTGCGTTCTACACCCTATCACCTCCGAGACTGGCGCGCATCTTTCTCCGCGGGCTGCACGCCTTCATTTTCGAAGATAACTGCCAGATGGCGCTCGTGCCTAACGCGCCTAGATGCGCTTTTTCTCCTCCGTTAAACTCTCGAGGCACTCTAACGCAGCCCCCCCAGAATATCATTCAACGATTTGCTTGCGCAGAACATCAAATAAACGTTTTCTTTTCACTCTCTCCAGACGCAAGACTATCGTCTTTCGACTACATTTGCGGTGTAACATGCAGATTTGGAACTAATATTTTTTTTAGATTGTGTGGTTTCTTTAGAGTGATCGCGCGCGCACGCGTGGACAAATAACGGCCTGACAAAGCGATCTCTGTAACTTATTATTTTTTTCGCTCATGGACGATTTTTAGCTCACAACGGACGGGGCTGACGCCGACGGCAGGAGTTGTGCGACACGAGCTCTCTAACGCTACAGCGGTGAAACTAGATGCTATGAGGAAAGAGAAATGTCTGTTCTTTATGCCTTCAATAACGGTTTAGTCTAACTAGGAGTAATCTATCTATCTATCTATCTATCTATCTATCTATCTATCTATCTATCTCTCCGTTTGGGGGCTCTCATGATCGGCCCTTAACTTGGGCTACACCAAAATTAGCAAGGAAGATTACGATGGTTTGAAGAACAGGACATGCTGGTCATAACATGAATAATACCAAAATCTGGTCATGTACGTCATCAAACATTTTCGAAAAAAAAAAGCGCAAGGCCTGCGCGTAAGGCGCAGCACAGTCACAGAGAAAGCTAGAAGAGCGGCCTTTCAGAGCCTTTCTAAACATATTTAGGGAATTACTGCAAGCACATTTTATTAATACTCACTACAGCTTTGTTAATGATGTAGGGAACTATGCGAACGACGACGAAGCAGCAAGAAACGGCAAGCCACAGCATTGGTGCACGCGCGCGACTCGAGCTTGCGCTTGTTTTGTATTTTCGGCCTGTTGACGTTCCTCGCTCTTCTGGCGTTCCTCGACCTTCCAGTAGGACTGTACGTAAATAAACTGCGTGACATCTGGTGGAGGTGTGTGGACTCCCGTACAAACCTGGAACTTCGCTCCCGTAAGTTTCCCCCTCTACGTGACACGAACATGGCCACCGAGATGCCTCTCCAGGTGGGACCTTGGAGCGTCCATTTCACTTGCGGCGCAGAGTATCCTCAACGAGACCCTCCTATCTTCACGGGCTCCACTGAGTCTGACGTCGAAGATAGGTTGGCGTGGTATGACGAAATCGGCGCAAGTAATAGATGGGACGACTCAGGTAAGCTGGGCTACGTCACGTTCTACCTTGCAGACACCGTGCAACTGCGGTTTAATAACCACGCAGCTGACATTCCTACATGGTCTGCATTCAAGACTGCTATTACGGACGTCTTTGGACGACCTGCGGCACGCAAGCTTCAAGCCGAGCACCGTTAATGTGACCGTGCGCAGCAACCAGGCGAGACCTACACGGGCTACATTGAAGATGTGTTGCATCTATACAACCGCGTCAACTCTACCATGCCTGAGGAGGAAAAAATCAGGCACATTTTGAAAGGCGTTGACGACGGCGCCTTTCAAATGTTGCTCGCGAGAAATCCCCCCACAATTGGTTTGCTCGTTTACCTCTCTCAGAGCTTCGATGAGTTGCCTAGGCAGTGCGCAATTGCTCGCAAGCTCGTAAGCTTGCAAAATAGGCTGGGAGGTAAACACTCATTTAAAAAACCGCATGCGGTCACTGCTTGTGAAGGCGTTCTCCATGGCATGCCTGTGCTCGTGGCTCCAACGCTAGCAATACGCAATGGGGCCTGGTGTGAGTCTTCACGCTGTTATGGATAGCAAGAAGGAGCATGGCGCTTGGAATTCAAATCGAAGACCACATTTTTTCTTGCTTAATTTGTGTTCACAGAAATAACTTAAAGGGTTCCTAGAAGGTGTTTTCATTGAGTATTGCCAGCCATACCCATCAGGATTATGCGGCCTTACCTCTCATTTGATATAGCGAGGTGAAATTCGTATATGGTGACGGTAACTTATCAGGATAATGAACGAAAATGCATTGTTCTTGCGTATTCGCGTCTACAAAAGAGTTTTCTTCGGGAAGCATACTGGTTTTATATGTATTAGCGTCTAGCAATAAAAAGAACTTCTCTTGGATAGAAGACATCGCGCACAATCATACGTAGCTTCATGACACCGTCAGGTGTGTGTTGGGATCAAAAAGGCACGTACGGTGCGCTGCAGGACTACTTAACGCATTTCGATGGCGGGGGTTTGTTCATATCTCTAATGAAAACCATGCCACTGCTACTCTTCATTTCGCACCCAAATATTTTATTCATAGCTAACCATCTATTCAGTGTTGCATTGAATGTGCTGCCGTAAATCCTGTTCTCTACAAGGAGGTGAAGCCGGACAAAGCCAGTATCAGTGCTTCAAGTAATATTTACGCATTGTGGCCTCATCCCTATTCAGAAACAACAACCAAGGCATCATATACGTAAAAGAAGCGCTTTTTAATGTATATTGAAACCTGGAGACTTTGAAATTTTAAACTCTGAACTGATAACGCGTTAGCCGTAAGAAAAAAAAAATAAAGCGTGTTTTGTCAGCGGCGTATTTTGTGGAAAGCAACAATCCTAGTGGTTTAGTACCTGTTGCACACACATCACGTGTTCGGTGCCAAGCAGAAACTGTGAAATGCTCAGTCCGAACGACAGGTACTGATGTGTTATTTCAAGTAGTTCTAAACCTTCAGCTGGCGCATGGCTATTCTACCTACAAATACACTGGTACATGATTCAGCTGGTATCCAGCGTGGAGTAGAATAGGGCGCAGCACTTTACGCTCCCGTGAATTTCTTGCGTGCCTCCTTCTTTCTGTCTGTCTACCTTCTCATACCCTCATTCCATTCGCCCAGCGAAGGTTGGCACACCGCGTGAACATCTTGTTTCATTTATATTTGGGGTTTAACGCCTCAAAACCACCATATGATTATGAGAGATGCCGTAATAGAGGGCTCCGGAAGTTTTGACCACCTAGGGTTCTTTAACGTGCACTCAAATCTGAGAAAACGGGCCTACAGCAATTTCGCCTCCATCGGAAATGCAGCTGCCACAGCCGGGATTTGATACCGCGACCTGCGGGTCAGCAGCCGAGTACCTTAGCCACTAGAACACCGCGGCGGGGCGAGCATCCTGCTTACTTTCCGTCATTTCTCCTCTTCTTTCTCCTCCATGCATTTACGAACTTATGTCTGGAACTAGCCTAATATGTATGTTGAACCTGCGCTTTATTTGTAACGCCTGAACGGCAGTAGAAACGTGTTGATATGAAATATTCAGATAATATTGCAAAACATATGACGGTGCTATTTAACAACCATTCATTTATTTTCGTTATCTTTCATACTTTCACATCTTTGTCAGGCCCACGTGGCCCTGTTTTCTACGTATGCCAGCTCGTATTCGTGCGTGAACGAAGTATGTCAAACGCCATCACTGTAGAGAAGGGATCACTTTTGGATGTTGCTGTAAAGTTCATTATAGCCCAGTGACGACATGTGAATGCCTGGCTACACGAGGTCACTGTGGTGGGTGCTGGGCTAATGCCAGGGCCATCCTCCTCCATGGCCACCACCGTCGCCGCTGCCACCACCACCGCTGCCGAAACCTCCGCCGCCGCTAGAGATGCTTGTATACGTTACAACGGGCTTGATGGCGTGGGAAACGGTGGCCACCGGCTTCGCCACATAACTTACTACAGGCTTGGCGACGTAGCCTACGCTCACAACGGGCGTTTTGACGTACGAGATGGAAGCTACGTCAATGTCGTCTCCACCGCCGCCGCCACCACCGCCAAAGCCACCACCGCCAAAGCCACCACCACCGCCGTAACCATGGCCGCCGTCAAGAATAATACCCGCAGAGGCAATCGCCGCCACGGCGAAAACGATGAGGATCTGGAACAAAGAAAGATTGTCGTAGTCGGACTGGGTAATCGAACTTAGGTAGATGAGTTGAACCGGATAAATGTGAAAAAAAGTGTTACCATATCTCTGAAGCTGATAGGCGCTTTAGTGTGTAGCTAATGTAGTTGTCGTTTTCTTCACAACTAGTTCCAGCAAACTTGAATGCACTGCATTGTACGTATGCTACAAGTGCCACGAAGGGCATGGTATGTATTTGGCTGACTCGAAATTCATTGATTTATAAGGATGACTCCATGGTGGGAGGTCCTGGAGTCGGTAGATTGATCAGCATGCAGCATTTTTATATACACATAAAGTACCACTTTGATTTTTTTTTCACTGTGTGAAATGAACGGACTTCTTAACTGCTATTGTGGCTGTGGAAATAACGATCGCTAGGGCAAATCTACCAAAGCTAAGGTGTTTGAGACAATCCTAGAGAAGCTCCACCAGTGATGAATATCATCCGTAATAACGTACACACAATGGCTCCTAGCTAACAGAAGTGATAACTACGGCTGTGAGGTGACGAAGCCCGAGCTATCACTTTTGTAGCCGGGCATAGTGCTGCTGAAAATTGTTCAAGGTGTAGCACGCGAACAAGGCTTCACCGTTCGTTTGCTACCACTGGGCGACTTTCTGCTAAACAAAAGCATAGCAAGCTACCACAGCATTGCTACCGGCACCTATGTCACAGTCTTGACAAAACTTCAAGAGAGACATCGTTCATTGTGGCGTCTAAGTGTCCGGCCCTTCAGGCCACTAAGGCGTGGGCATCGCTGCCTGACTCACCGATGCTTGCATGTCTTCCGAAACAGGCGAGTACTGGCTTGCGAATAGACTTGGCGCTCTTTTATACGGAAGACGTGTTGACTGCTTGGAGGAAATGTGGGCGGAAGAGGAAAGGAGGGTCACATAAGCAAATAAAACATAACTAGGGCTTGACACTCGTTTACGGTCATTATGAGGCTCACGCGTCGCGTTAGAAACTCCATTAAACTACTTTCCGCATGAGAACGATTCAACGGACTAGTAACCCGCGCGTCGGAATGGATACGTTATACTTTTAAATCACAATGAAGTTCAGCCGGAAGCTTTCACGGCAATCTTTTCATCGTGGGTCACTTTCGCGGCTGCATGCTTGAGCGACCCCTCTTCGAGACCACATGCCGAGGATTTGAAGCGTCGTTATTCGGTTAAGAAATAAAATGCTCTCCCGGGGCGAACTTGGCAATGTGGTCTCCACTAGGCATTGTACTGTATCTTTAACGTAGCCCCAGTAGTATAACCTCGAGAAGGTTCTAGTGTTTTCCTATAAATTAATAATTGATTTCAGTGCCAACTAGGACATAGATTAAAGGCTGACAGCAGTAGATACTATTTTTATCCATATTTATGTGTATTCACATGTGAAGAGATACTCAAAAAGGCGTGCTCTGCTCTGTTCAATTAATTAAAAAGCCTGTATGCATCAGCCATCAGTCCACATCTATTTTATCAAATTTCAGCGCCTCTAGAAAGTCTTGTAGCCCTTCTTACGAATCGCTCGCTACTATGTTTAGACAGTATCTCGCCTGGGCTCAAAGCACGCCGGACGTGGGTGAATAAACACCATTTATCATATCCCGTTGTATGCAGACAGGTCATAATATTTAGGCGCCGCCAAAAATGACAATATCAGCGCAATATATGCAATATGTTATGCAACTGCTGGTTCTATATCCTGATCATAAAAACAAAAAATGACCAGAAGTATTACTCGTTCTGGCTATTATAACTTACAACAACCAAGCAGCTCGTATTAGGAACACGTGCTACTTCACTCCAACAGGCATAAAAACAGTGCTCCAGAATCGCCGTCATGGCTTCTGGTGGCGCTGACTGGCATTCCCACGTTTAAATTCATATATATATACATTCTACAAAGCATACTGAAGTATAGTTTCTGTAATAGCACAGTAGGTACAGCATTGCACGCAGGTTTAAACCCCACGCACCGTAAATGAACTTTTTCCCCACTTGTGTTTTCTCACACTACCTTAAAATACTTCTGAGAACATTCACTAACTACTTGCCTTGGTACCATCGTTTGTTAGTTTTTATTTTTAATGTGTTTAACAAAGAAAACGAGCCTTTAAATATACATTTCTTATCTTTAATTATAGCGAGACTATCGTTCTAGCAGACTTCGTGCTTTCAGGTCTTATGCGAGAGGTGATTTTTTTATTTATTTATTTATTACATACTGCTGTCCGTAGACCAAGCAGGAGGGGCACAAAAAGGAAGCATAGCGAAAAAAGCGAACAAGTTACACAGCAAGTTAGAATACACAAAGCTACTGAAAAACAAGTCATACAAAATACGATGCTTAGTTATACATATCTAGAAAAAAAAAGCGAACAAACTTCTAGAAACAGTTTCAAGCACAATAAAGTAAAGCTACACAGTTGAAATAATAAGATGAGGTAATCTAGCATTGAAATATCAACGGTGTTGCTTACACAAAAGGTGCATGTAGTTTTTAGAGTCGCGAATGCCACGTTCAGGAAAAACATTTGAAGGCAGTGCATTCCATTCACTAATGGTTCTCGGAAAGAAGGAATATTTGAAAAGGTTAATACGTGCAAAGTAAGGTGTCAGATCATGATTGTGAGCATGCTTGGTTTTCCTGGAAGAAGAGGGAGAGATGTATTTACTGGGATCAATATTTAACTGATGATTATAAAGCAGGAAAAGAAACTTGAGTCTGGCGATAGTTCTACGCTGTTTCAAGAGCGGAATGTTGTTAGTAGCCATAAGTGATGAGGGTGAATCAAGATTGTGATAGGCATTATAGATGAATCTTACCGCTCTCCTCTGGACCATTTCAAGTTTATAAACATCCTTTTTAAAATACGGGTCCCAGGCTACGCATGCGTACTCTATACGGGGTCGAATAAATGTATTATATGCAAGAAGTTTGATCTGAGTTGGCGCGTTTTTTAGTTTGTGTCTAAGAAACCCTAGTTTTCTAGAGGTGGAGGAACAAGCATCGTCAATGTGGTTACTCCACGACAGTCGATTGGTAATATTGACTCCCAAGTATTTAAAATTGCTCACTTCGATCAACAGATTATTATTTAAGGTGTAGCGTGATGCAAAAGGGGTAATTTTGTTTGAGATACACATATAGACTGATTTACTAATGTTTAACTCCAACGACAAGGTATGGCTCCAATCGGAGAAAGAATTTAGGTTGTTCTGCAAGCACTCTTGGTCCCTTTCACTTTTAATTGGCTTGTAAAGAATGCAGTCATCTGCAAAAAGCTTTAGGCTTATGGCGGAGGTGTCAACTGATGAAACGATTTCATTGATAAAGATGAGAAAAAAGACAGGGCCAAGGACACTGCCTTGTGGAACTCCCGAGGTTACAGGTAGAACCCCAGAGCAGCAGCCCTCGACCTGGACAAACTGTTTGCGGCTGGTAAGGTAGGATCAGATCCAATTAATTACAGTAATGGGTAGGCCAATGTTTGAAAGTTTGGTGAGTAATTTACTATGGCAAACACAGTCGAAAGCTTTTCTAAAATCTAAGAAGATGGCGTCTATTTGGTCGCCCTTATCAAGTGCCATTGCGAAGTCGTGAATTGTGGTGACAAGTTGAGTGGTAGTCGAGAGGCCCTTCCTAAAACCATGCTGGAAAGGAGTCAAAATACTGTTTTCTTCAAGAAATGACATTATGTAATGCGTGATGATATGCTCAAGAAGTTTACAAGGACCGGAAGTTAATGATATTGGCCGGTAGTTTTCAACATTTAGGCGATCACCTTTTTTAAATACGGGAATAACACGTGGCGTTCGCCAATCATAGGGAAGAATTAAATTATGAAACGAAAGACGAAAAATATGGGTGAAGACATGCACGATAGGTTCGGCGTAACTGTCAAAAATGCGTCAGGTATGTCGGCTGCCAGCCCGTAATAAGATCTTGTGCTACCTACAGAAGGAGGGTTAAGAATTCGTATTCGTGGCTACTGATGGCGCTAGGTGACACCACCCACGTTTAAATGCACATATATACCCTACCAAGTGGACGCTTGTATAGCCGTCTTCGTAACTCAGTTGGTATAGAGCGTCACACGCGTCTTGAAGGCCGCAGGTCCGGTCGCTGCCCAAGGTATAGGCTTTCGTCCACATTTTATTGTTCACATTTACTTTAAATTTATTGTTATGAACATACACTATATTTTCCTTGGTAGTGTCGTCGGTTAGTTCTCATTATAATATTAATGTGAGGTGGTCACAAGAACACCACGATGCCAATTTCCCGTACACCATGATTTACGTATGACGCTCAAGGTTGGACCGTGACCGGTTGGCTAGCTTGATGTACTATGAGTGTCAAATGAAACCCGACTAGCGGCAAGGCTTTGGGATGGTATAGTGAATACCGTCCAGTTATCAACAGCAACAACAAGTGCATCCTGTTCGACAGCTCTGCGCGTATATGCGTGCCTGTCCATGGTAATCAGCTGAAGGCCTGCACTATACCATTAAGAAGGCATGCCGATGTTCGGGTTTTATTTGACACTGAAGGTACACCAAAATTGGTATTCCGTGCGGTGACTGCATGACAAACATGAAAGAAATCTGATGAGCGTTAAAATCATGGCATTCATTTTATGTATGGCATGAGTTACATGCCGCGCTCATGATGGGCTGAACACCGGTCAGCAAGCTTTATATTCTCGAAAATTAGTAATGTGTGAAGTCATTCTACGACGAACAAGAATAGCGGGTGGTAGCATGAAAACGCGACATGAATGACATGGTCTTCGCAGTACTATTTTTATTGTCTTTCACTTTTTACGCAGTCACTTCGCAAGATACCAAGTTTGGGGCAGGATAGGCTGTGAGCTCACCGTGAGCAAGATTTGTGAATCATACTGTACATGAGTTGAGATGTCAAAAGAGCGCGAAAAAGAGAAAACGACTAAAAAATACACCGCGCAGGCTCTGAAGTGGCCACTTTTATGTGGTTACTTCAGAGTCGCTATTTTTACATACCTATCATGAACCACTAACTAGCTCAACTTTCTGTTCTACAGCGCATGCTGTTTGCTTTCAACGCAGGCCGTTGTTTTAATGTACGTCATGCAGTCGCGCAACACAAGACGATTTTCTGTGTATATCCACGGACCAGTACTTGGGAGTTGAGTATCCCTGTCTTTGTAAGAGATCTTTATTCTGTATTCATTTCACTTCACCGTGGTGAACTCGTTCATGGCGCAAATTTCGTCAACACCACCTCATGAAGTGTGAAGCCAACTAAACAGCTTTATGCTTTTGCATAGTAGTATTAGGTACTTTAAATAGTTAACCACTTCGCCTAAGCGCATCCTGATTGTGAACCAGTCCGAGCATTCTATAAGCGTCGTTTTAAATCACACATTGCTCGATAGGCCTGATATGATTTCAACAATAAACCTGGTATTTATGCTCGCCATAGTTACGTCAAGTAATATGAATTTCGATGCACATCAAGCCAGATAACGGTTTGCGAGCACGCGATGAGTGCAGCAACTAGTAATTCAGGCCGTAAATGACATTGAACTGATAATTCTTTGGCACCATTGGTCTTTTTGTTTCTCATACAGATATATATCTCGTCAGAGTATTTTTTACATACATGTAAAAGAGCATTTTTTACATACATGTTAGAACCTCGAAACTACGTCATGTAAATGAGGTTGTACATGACATTGGTGTCTATATTTGCCCATTAGGAACAGTCAAATACGTTTGTCGTGGAGTTTCACCAAGTC